ACAGTAAATAGCAAGATTATTCCAAAGTAAATTTTCCTGTATTTCATGAATACTGTAACCCAGATGAGAATTTACCTGCTGATATCGATCGTGGATCATTTTTGGCGCAAATATATTCGTCAATCAATGAAAAAAATTAATGGATATTTAAATTACGTCTACCTCTTATATCAAATTCATGCCAAATTGGAGTATACATGAAACAACAACGATGAAACATTGAGGGAACTGAGGTAACGAAACAATGGATTTCATTGGCTCATCCGAGCGTGTTTTGAAGCTTTGTATAAGAGGTAGCAGCTATTTTGAACGTAAGCGGATTTCCTGCAAAATCACGAGAAATATAAAACTGTAATAGGGTTCGGAATTCTTGGGACACTTAATCATTTCCTGGGTAAATATTGCCATTTCCGTTTCGATTCTCCAATAAATCAGCGTGTTGGAATACACTCTATCCCAAAATTTTCATATAGATCATAGAGGTCTTTCACTAGATAATATTGAAACAATGTGCTATCAGGGATTTTCAACAAGAATCGACAGATTGCATCAAAACTACTACATTGATTATATTTTATTGAATAAAATGTATTTATTTTCCTTAAAAACTGACAATAATCAGTACAGGAGTCGTCCTACGGTATAGTGCAATACTAAAACATAAACCTGAAATCGAATACAAATATACATTCAACCCCTTGAGGTGTTACTCCTGAAGGCGTTACCTTGGTTAAAGAAACGCGCGTCGAAAAGAGTATTACATTTCTGTTGATTGGGAGAAGTGCTTGTTTTTCAATTCATTCTACTCCGGTCATAGTCAATTTTCGGCTAGTCGAGACAAGACGAAAGAAGGCCTGTTCTTTTCCTGTCTCGACAAGAGACAACACTAAAGAAAAGTGGATCGCTTCCATCCCTGAAAGATTCGTTTAGTGAGAGAACTGAACGTAGACGGTGCACCACGATCACCTGATTCAAGTCTTTTAGATTTTTTCTTGTTAACACTTGAAAAACGAATTGTATCGACTGAGAGTGAACTATATCAATGTATGGGTATCATTTCCAGCACTTACCTGGTCGATATGGTAAAATTCTGAAGAAAATCCATTCATTTTCATGTGAATAGTAACTTCTTCTGAAACCATGAATATGTTGGACATTTCTCTACGGATAAAACAGACAGTGAAAGCGAAATCATGATGAATCACTGGAAATCAAACTCTCTGAATGTTTCCATTAAATTCCTTCCATTTCCATAACACTCTTCCATTTCGCCATTTCATTAAGTGATCATTGTTTGGTTAATCTCATAGAAGAGACGTTGATTGAACCTTTAATGTGTGCAATATATCAGAAGTTAGGGCCTACACTAAAATAATTTGAGTTTAATTAAAACTGGTCTGCGACTAGATTCGAGTTTGATAAAATTAATTCAACTGTTCGCTAGTAATCAAACTTGTATTGAGGGATTTAACAACCACCAAGGGTAGTAGATCCACTTCATTCTCGAATATGTCAATGATTTTAATGAGAAAAGTCGAAATTACAATACCTAATTCATAAAGCACTTCATCTATGTAATTAGTACGTCCATTGCTTGTTCAAGACGTTTTCGTTATAGTATTTCTAAAACCAATTAGAACAGCAAAAAATAATATGCCGACATAGGCGTCGGCATATTATTTTTCAGTGGTAGTTTTTCAGTTACTTATTTTTACAATCATAGCAATTGATCACCCCATGAAAAAGTTATCTCAACTGAATTTTTCCACCGTGGGTAATTATGAAAAACTTCGAAATTTAAGGTGGTTGATTTCCGAGTCGAAACCTTTAAAATACAATGGAAACACAAATAATCACACCGAAAATAATAGAGACCAACAAAATTGCTAGAAAAATCAAATTTTTTCTTCGCTATATTCGGATGCGATAGAATCATCATCGGGTTGAATAACGATCAGATATATGGAACTTTGCACATAATATTTGTTCTCTTCTTTCATAACGTGGGCCACACAGTTCTTCCACACATCACTATTACCTACTTCATTCACTACTCGCCTTATATCGTCAAGCACTACAGCATTCAAAGTCGGTGACTGATTACATTTCCGCAAGCTTTCTTTCATTGTGGCCCAAACCATTTCAATTAACCACAAGACAATAAGAGACCTCGTGGAGTTTCTAAAGATTTGTAATTTTAATCGGGATAGTCGAGTAATTTATACCAAATCATTTCCAAGGTTAGTACTTCATTTTTTCTGGTATATACCCTAAATTGTTCGCCGAATCACATCTTTTGTAGCACCATCAACGTTTGCAAATTTTTTATTCCTTTGTTTTCGGTTCATTGCACGGTCGATGACATCCCCTATTTTAATAACTCGAAGAACTGTCGATCGAGATAGTTTCGTTAACTCGCATATTCTATGCGAGTTAACGAAACTATCTACACAGGAAAAAGTCTGCGTTGTTATCATACTCGTTATTAATATTGGCACTTGTTCAAAGACGCCACATTTTGAACAGATAACAAAAATTTTAAGTAATTATAACTTCACCAAAATCATTTCAACACTCAAATCGCGATCAGTTCCTGAACTGAACGTTCAGGAACATAACGGCGATACTCATCCCCACTTTCCATTCGTCACCGAACCATTACTTCAAATTTAATTTTATGACTCTTCAGCCAATCATAAAACTTGGTAAATAAAAATTATCCAATACAAACCGCCAATTCTTCAGTCCACGTGGACTAGTCCGCAGCGGCATTATATCTCTGTATTGGTTTTTTGGCCTTTGAGATGCTGATAGCTTCAAGTAATCACAATAAAGGTTACTTCGACTCTACAATACATCATCATTGAACCGTTGTGACCCTTAACCAAACCCTTTGCTTCATTTCGGGGAAAAGACCACAAGAATGACTATTCTGGCTGAGTTTACAAACAGAATAATAAGATACAGTAGCTACTCTCTATCTCTGTTTCAGATACACAAGTGATTATTTCATTTTCCATTTTCCTTGTGTACGTCGGGTCAAGTGTGGTTTGATATTCCCGAGTAACGTCAACTGGCATAAACATTTACTGGAAACGTATCGATCGTAAAATACAAACTCTCTTGAAGCACCCAAACTAGAGTGAAACTCAAAATCCTCATATTATCTCCCTCATTGAAGGGAGGTTCTAATGAAATTTATAATTGTTACATCGAAAGGCATCTGCAATTTCCGGAAAATGGAAAATGCGGATCTATGGCGATGTTCCTTCTCTTTGGACATTTGTGTGAAGAGTCGGAAAAGAAAGAAGCATTTCTGTGGTGTATTCCTCAGACATTTTAAGAAGTGAACCGGTTCAGAAAATATATAAGCGAATGCTTATTTAGGATATCCATACGAGTTAATTTTTATTTCCGAAAGAGAACTGTGGTTTCTTTCGTTACAGCTCCATCAGTTAAAATATCCGAAAAACTCATTGAAATTATTCAAAACCACACCAATTTCTAATCAAAATTCAGTTTGAAGAATTCATACCATTTGATCAATGAAATTCAAGATATTACACTCCCGGATATTGCCAAATTGATTTCATTCGATGTAAAGAATCTGTTTTCCAGTATCCCTCCGAATCCCAGTATGGAAGCCGAATCGATAGCTTGGTGGAATAAAGAGGCATAAAAGGCATAACGAAACCATCGCCCAGATTCCTGGAAGAGCTGCTAACCAACAACTGTAAGGTTGTTAAAGTATAAGCGACATGAAGATTCTGTCAAGAAGAAGAAGAAGAAACCGCACTGCATGTGCTCTGTGAAAGCGCAGCGATAGCAAGGCTGAGACACGCAAGATGAGGAGAAGAGAAATCAGAGCCGACTAGCTAAATGAAGAGGTCAGTGTCAAGGCTATGGAGTCTCATCAAAGAGATCAAGCTATACAATGAGCTATAACAGCCAAGGAGCATCACGATAGATCTGAGAAGGTCGCAGTGAATCAGGCCATGGACTAGCTCCCCAACAATCTAATCTAATCCAATGAGGCTGATTATGTATGCTCCAGTGCTGGACCAGCTTGGCTCAGGAAGTTGATATGACATTGTATCGTTGTTGAAAAAGAATACTTCAAATTATAAGAGGTCAACGAAGCTTGCTCAAAAAACCCCTATCATGACTAGTCACATCCATAAATGAAAGGCTTTGAATGGTCTACGATGTTCCAGAACATTCCACATTATTCTAAGCTATTCTAGATTGTTTCAGTGATCCGGAATGTCCTGGGAGGATTCCGAACTTTTCAGATAATTCCCTAACAATCCACAACATTTCAGAATGCTCCTATATGCTGTGAAATGCTTTCGAATACTCTCGAATGTTCTGGGCCGTTCTAGAAGTTTCTAAACAGCAAAACTTTCAATCCTCTTCGACAGTACGCCCATCAGGTGTAAATGGAAACCATACTACTTTCGTGATCGCTCTATAATAAGTTTGACCATTGCAGGATTCTTCCGAATGCTCCAGTCTATACAGAATAAAAGGCGAATATTTTAGCCCGTATTGATTCAAAAGCCCATCATGATCGTTCTACAATGACCTTGGGATGCTCCAGGATGTTCGCGAACGTTCCAGATCATTACCGAACATTCAATCACATTCCAGAGAGATGTTCTGAAATATTGTGGAATGTTGTGGAATACTATCTGACACTCCTGTGCTTCTAAGTCTTACAATCATCACATACATAAAATATTCTGGGTGTTATAATATTTCTACTTGTTGTTTTATTTTGAATAAACTGGTTCTTTGTATGATCCCAAAATCGCTCGAAATATTCAGTAACATAATGTAATAACCTAATCATTATTTCCGATAAACAATGTATTTTCATTTCAAACCTCAAAAACAGCGAACCATGGATAAAACACAATCGCCCTCATGAGCTCCCATTATTCTTATACGAGGATCAATTTTTCATCGTATACTAAACCAGGTCATGAAATATTTTCCAGTTTGCGATTTTGGTTTCCAATGCGACGTTAAGCGATGCATCCCGAAAGATTGGCAGTGTGATGGTCACGTGGACTGTAAAGATCAATCCGATGAACTGAAGTGTCACAAATGCGGTCCAGGTATGATCAATTGCGGAGCAGATAAATGTATCACACAAGAACATCTGTGCGACGGAAAAGTCGACTGCCCTTGGGGACAGGACGAGAGGAATTGCTGTAAGTCGCATGTTACATTCCACTGAATCGGTAATAATTCAATACAGGGTTTGTTTCAAGTGATAGGTATCTGTTTTACATCACTTTCATTTAGTTTCACCAGTTCTGGTGTTTGTAACCAAATTTTGAACTTTCACTAGTCCGGACTTCCATTGTCTACTATATAAAATGATTTGAGATCCCTGAAACAACTAAAAAAGAAGAATTGAAAATGTAGATCTTTTTTGATGATGTCTAGTTTTGAGTAGCCGAATCTCTGGAGCTGATGATCGGTCAAAGCGGAACGCCCTTCTTGTGGATTTTGGGTAGTCCATACAAGTGAGGGGGCTTACTGTGGTGCGGTGTTAGCGATGATCTTTCCTTTTCCGAAAAATAGACTTGGTGTTTTTTCAAAATCTTCTTTTTCAGTTGTTTCAGAGATTTCAAATCATTTCATATAGTAGACAATGGAAGTCCGGACTAGTGAAATTCATCATGAAACATTGTCAATCACCATCAAACAAATTTTGCACGTTGAATTTGACCCACTTCCCAATTTTTTTTTCAAAAACAAAACCCATGCACTAGAGGAAAATCTCTAAGGAGCTCTAGGAGCGGTACCTGTGCAAAAGAAGCGATTCACTTTGGATTTGAATCGCTGGAGATTCATTTAGAAAAACGTAATCACTTGCTTGGGGAAACACGTATCAAGACATAATTTTCTTGTTCCAGTGTGGCGGAATTGATTTCTTCAGATTCATTTGATGTCAGAGATTCTTATTCTACCTATAAATGATGTTGGTTATCAAGAAAAAGTATTTTGGAAAGAATTAAAAAATAAAATGACGTCACTCAAAATCTAATATGTTTGACTCACAAAGATGGTGAACTCAGCTTTTTTATACACTCCATGATATGGATATCAATTGAGAGGTCAAACCAAAATGGCAGAAAAATTATGGCGGCCTCATCAATTTCAAAGACGTGTGGTGATGAATTGATTGAAATGAACGGATGTAGGAACACGTCTACCAATAAGTAAAAAATAAAAATTATACCAATGGAAAAAACATTTTTTGAGAAAACCTGAAATCTGTATCACACCAGATGGCCTAAAAAGTTTGAAGGGTAACACACAGATGGCGCTGCAAATTTCACAGCTGTTGGACTATCAGTCCTTGGGATAGAACATTTAGAGTAAATCAACTTTTGTTGTTTTGAAGAAAATGGCTAAAAATGAGTTTCGTGTGTTAATATAGTATTGATTTTGCTTGTCTTGATAAACATTACTTGGACTTTGCACCAGAAAAATCAATCGTTGAGAAGTGCTTTACTGAGTTGAAACGAAGTTAAATGAGCACCAAGGACGATGCAGGCAGTGGACGCCTCAAACAGGCTGTCACCGGCGAAAACATCCACAAAATTATTTTGGATGACGGCAAAGTGAAGTTGACGGAGATAGTCGAGGCTCTAAAGATATCAAAAAACATATCGTTCATGAATATTTGGGTATGCGAAAGCTATAATCAAATTTGGTGCCGCGCGAGCTCACTGTTGACCAAAAACAACAACGAATTGGTGATTCTGAGCCATGTTTGAAGCTGTTCCACAATAAAAACCCCAAGTTTATGAGTCGATATGTGACAATGGATGAAACATGGCTTCATCGTTTCACACCAGAGTCAAAACAATCGTCATCTGAGTGGACTGCACGTGGTGAACCGACTCCAAAGGGTGCAAAGATGCAATAGTCGGCTGACAAGGTTATGGTATCAGTGTTTTGGGATGCGCATGGTATAATATTCATCATGAAAAGGGAAAAACCACCAACAGCGACTATTACATAGCGTCATTGAGGAAAACGAATGCTGTTTCATCAAGACAATGCACTGTGTCACAAATCCTTAACCTGTCAAAATTGACATTTAAAAAAAGAAACATCGAAAAATGACATTATTCTTCAAAATATCCAAAAATATCAAAGGATAAAAACATCTTTTTTTGTAATATAATAATATTTTAAGAGCCTCTTTGATGTTAAAAACAAATTTTGAAAAATAAAAGTTGTCAAACTTGATGCAAAGTTCATCTAGTTTCAACGGGGCTTTCCAAACTATACAGTACCTACTTGAGTTTTTTAATGAGCAACACTATATGTATGACACTGTATGTACCAAATATGCCAAAGATGTCTACAAAATTATCTCAGTTATTATTAAAAAACTGATTATTTTTGAAAACTTTGCCACCCTGTATCTCAAAAGTTAGGACGTTTAGGACATACGTCCATAGGACGTTTTTTCCTTAAAATGGGTCTAAGAATTACCTCTTCAAATATTAGCATGTTTTTAAGGAACACCCTGTATAGTCTTTATGACTTAAGCCTCCCCTGTTCTCCAATGCACGAGCCGTCACTGCCAATCAAGTCTCCAATAGATGAAGAAAAAGGTTTTCTTCGGGAGATGAAATGAACAGTTTTCATTTTCTCCTGAAGACGTCAACTTGATTGGTGAAACACGGGTGGAAAAGAGCCTTACAGGTTTGGTAATCGGGATAAGAGCTTGTTTTGGATTCATTCTACGCGAGAGGATCCAGTTCTACCTTGTTTTCATTTCAACTGACTGCTAATGGGCAGAAACCCAATGTATTTTCCCTCAACAATTCACCACCCTGTACTAAATTTGGTAAACAAAACAGAAATATTGTAATCGTTTGAGATGACCGAGAAAAACCATTTGCTGAAATGAACCGTAGCGTTTTTTATTTCCAGTGAGATTGAGCGAGAGAAATGGAGATGAAGGAAAAGGTCAATTAGAAGTGTATCGAGCTGATCGGGAGAAATGGGTACCAGCTTGCGTACTCCATTGGGATGAGAGAACATCTGCGAAAACCATATGCTCGTTGCTGGGATATTCGTAAGTTGAATTTCATTCTTATTGTTGTCGTCAAAAAGCATTCAGGATCGATTTATGTATTTATTGTTGAAATGAAAACCAACTGATGCCACGTATATATGTCATGTATGTATACGATCTTTCATTAGGCGCTTCCTGTCTTTGAATTTGAATAAAACAAAGTGTCTGAGAGATAACATCGGAACTTTTTATTCGTTTGAAAGACTCATTGTTCACGGGTTATGTTGGCTGTGGTTTGTGACTTATTTGCATAAACCCACGACTTGAGAACCCGACAAGAAAATGTCTACAAATCGCAAGATCTGTATCAATCATTATCAACTCATGTCAAAGCTTTATTCGTTTGGTATACGAGGTGTTGCCTATGACTGGACTTTATCGTTTCTGAAGAATAGACAGCAGTTTGTTAGCTTGAATTATCATAGTCCATCACTACTACCTTTGATTCTGAGTGCTTGGACGCCACGATGGGTGTACCACAAGGATCTGTGCTAGGTCCGATATTATTCCTTCTTTATATAAATGAAATCGATAACTTCATCACAGATTCATTCATAACGATGTACGGTGATGACACATCCTTGGTGGTGTCCAGTTATGTGGATCATTTTCTGATGAAGAAGTGTGAAAGAACTGTGAAGTCAGTGTCAGTGTATTGGTGCGGAAACAATTCATTGTATCTCAATACTGAAAAAAACTCAATTGGTGATTCTACATTCGTCAAATACAGTGCGAAAAAGTAAAAATTCAAATAAATGATCAAACACTCAACAGTTCAGATGATACAGCATTTCTGGGGATAGATAGATAATATATTTGTCTCTTTAGGTTGTTCTTGCAACATGAGATATGTCAAAAAAAAATTAAAAACAAACAACAAGCACAAACACATTAACAATAGTCAATTTCACACAAAAGTTAAAACATATTGGATGGATACATATTAAAAACAGTACATATAATGCATACTACATAGATGAAAATGAATCAGCCACACTTTTGAATAAAATCGTCTAAAGTATAAAATGCTCCTTGGATTAAGAACTTTTTCAGTGTATGTTTAAAAGTTTTTATTTTTGTTTCCGATTTCATGCTTTCAGGCAATAAGTTGAATAAATATGCCCCTGCATACAGAGGTGATTTTTTGTGATGTGATCTGAGTATGGGATGTAAGTGAAAGTCATTTTTCTTTCTCGTATCGTATCTGTGGTACTCACTGTTTTTGTTTAGTTTTCCTTTATTTAAAAAGGTATACGTCAGTAATTTATACAAATAAATAGATGTGAATGTTAAAATATTGTTATTTGTGAAGGTGTTCCTACACGATTCTCTGTAGTCTAAATCATATATCATTCTGATGAACTTTTTTTGTATTCCAAAGACTCTGGATGTTTCTGTGGACCTTCCCCATACTATGATGTTGCAGCTGATGGTGCTATATACCAGTGCATAATATAAATTAATCAAGTAAGGTCTATGAAAATTTGACTTGAGTGTATAGAAAGCATAATATAGTTTATTTAGTTTTTTGCAAATAGAATCTATTTGGTTGTTAAATGAGAACTTGTAGTCTAGTTCCATACCTAAGTATCGTGCTGACTCTGATGTGTTTATTTCAATATCATCAATATTTATTGTAAGATTGTGTGTTCGCCTGAGGGGACTTGTAAACTCTATGAACACCATTTTGTCTGTATTGTTAATTAGATGATTCACCTCACACCAGTGCGCAAATTCCTCTGTAACCAATTTAATTTTCTTTTGGAATTCAGTAGCGGTGTCAGCCACAACAATAACTGTGGTATCATCCGCATAGATAAAGGTTTGTCCATGCTTAATGTGAGTGGGTAAATCATTCACATAAAGCAAAAATAGCAAGGGGCCTAAGACACCACCTTGGGGAGTGCCAATTGTAATGTCAAAGTTATCAGAGAACTCGTCCTCAATCTGCACCTTAAGCGTCCTCCCAGATATATATGATAGGATCCACTGCTGAACTGGGCCTCGTATACCTATTGCCTCTAATTTGGTTGGTAAATACTCGTGCTTTATGGTGTCGAATGCACGCGACAGGTCAAAGAAAAGTCCTCCTACAACTTTGTTTTCGTTGATATTATCATATATATATTGTGTCAAATCAACAGATGCTGTCTCCACTGAGTGGTTAGGTCGAAATCCATGCTGAGATGAAGTAATAATATTATATTTGTTTAAATAGTTGTTTATTTGGTTGTACACTGAGAACCATGGATGCATGTCTGACTTGTAAAAAACACTGCACCCTCGTGATGAACAAATTGAATTCATTGTGTTACCTTTTCAGAAACCTCGGAAGCATTTTGACAGAACAACTATTATCATTATATCAAGCATGAGTTGCGTCACCAGCTTCAGATGTGTTTATTGTACAGAAAAGAAATATTCGAATAGTAGCAGGAGTTCCTAGTACATTTTCTTTTAGGGATATATTTCGAAAATTTAGAATTTTAACCCTATCATGTATGAACCTGCACGTCGTCTTGACGTTTGTTCAGGTTGGAGCCCAGCTCCCTTACCCTTTTGGCTGATTTTTTGTCAAAGAAGGACGAATGGGGATATTGGAGGCTTTGGGGAAATGGTTGGCCTCAGGTGTACTCTGTTTTGGCGGTAAACCCTTTCGTCTTCTGATCTCACATTATAACTCTCAGGACTTTTGTGCAGTTGGTTGACTTGACCAAGAACCCATTTTCTGGAAGCCTGCTGAATAACTACTTGTTGGGATTCTTGCAGTTGGCTGAGGGGCTTTTTACTGTTGTTGTAGCTTGCTGCTTCTGCCAACTGCTGTCTATTGAGCACTTGTAGTTGTTTTGCTAGTATCAACCACAACCGAAACATTGAAGCCAGCCCTGAAAGCCTACATTTCTATATTATTTCGGGACGGTTTATCACCTGCCCTTAGACTAAACTATTTTATTTCATCAGTTCGGACTTCCATTGTCTAATATAATATAAATTGATTTGAACACACAAAAAAAAATTAAAATTAGAAGTGTTTTGCGTGTTCGGAGATTTTTTGCTATCGAAAAAAATGGATAAAAAAATTTGCATCAAATTGTGTGTAACAAATGGAATTGGGTGCTCAAAAGCACCTGAAATGTTGACAGTGGCATATGGTGATTGTACTCTGAGTACGAAAAATGTTTCCAAATCCAACATATCGACACCATAGGCGGCGTCACAGGGGGGCAAGGGGGGGCAGTATGATACCTCGACCTGATGTGAATCCTATATCGCTCGCTCTACAATGCGAATGTGATCATTTTCTAAAAGGTTGGAAATTGATTGTATCTCAGCGTGGCACTCGTAGCAGTAGTAGTAGGTTTCGTGATGAATTTCACTAGTTCGGAATTCCATTGTCTATTATATAAAATGATTTGAAATCCCTGAAACAAGTAAAAAAGAATAATTAAAAAGGAATAGTTGAAAATAACAATTATATTAAGCAACAATAAACCTGAAATGAAATGATAGTGAAATAACCTACAAGTAAAAATATAATAATTGAATAAATAAAA